TATACTTTTATTAATACTAGTAGGATAAGAAGCACGACATTGTTTGGCAAGAATGCATGTTTCACAATTCAACTCAAAAGATTCAACAGAAGCAAACTGGGGAAGCACATGCTTCAAAACAGGAAGAGGTAAATGACCTAGTCTATTATGCCATCACATTAACAGATCTTTATTTATATTACTATTCCTAACACTAGATTGATTTGCAACATGATAAGAAATTGGCCTCGTGTTCAGCAAATACAAGCCATTGTCCTCACGTCCACTTCCAATCGTCTTCCCCGTGTCCGAGTCTTGAAACACACAATGATGGAAAAAAGGTTACACTACAATTCAAGCCTTTTGTAATATGACTGATAGAAAGGAGGTTGTTGGTAAACTTTGGGACATGAAGAACAGAGGATAAGGTAAGATTAGGAAAGACAGAAACAGTGCCCTTCCCCGCAATGGAGGTGAAGGTGCCATCAACCACTCTAACCTTATCCTTACCAGAATATAAACTGTACGAAGAAAAATCAGATGCTATACTAATAATGTGATCAGTGGCTCTTGAATCAATAATCCAGGTTGGCCCACCAGATAATGTGGAAACCTGATGTGCCGAATGAGAGGTACCTGTCTGAGCGAAGTTAGAGGTGGAAATGGAGGAATGTTGTGCTAGTAGATGTCGGGGAGCATCAAGTTCAGCCCCGGACAAAGAACTCGGTGGCCCTGAGGAGGCATGACCAGTAGAAGAAGTCTTAAGCTCTGCAGTATGTGCCGTAGATAACCCCCTAAATGGACCAGGGCCTAGCATTCGCATGAGCAGGAGTTGGAGTAGGGTGATCGTGTAGATTACATCATGTTTCCTAGTGTGGCGTGTACGTCCACAGTGATCACACCTCAACTTGGTCTTGTCATCCTGCTTCCCTCCTTTTAGAGGATTGGGATTGTTCCATTGTTGTGTGGCAAGAGCAGACCTCTTAGACAATGGTACTTCTGGCTCAGGCTTAGTGTATACAAGTGCAGACATAGCCTTCATTCTACTCTCCTCAGCTTGGATATACGAAAACACATCTCTAACAGAAGTAGGGGCTGGATACCTGCCTAACACTTGTACCCTAGCATGCTCATATTTCGGATGCAGACTACCCAAGAACTTATAGATTCGATTCCTTTCTACCCTAGCATGAAATGCTTTAACATCAGCTGCACATATAGGTATGTAGTCTTGGTAATGATCTAACTCCCCATTTACCACGTAGAGTGTGGTAATATGTAGCAAGAGTTTGGTCTTCCTGCTCGAATCTTGAAATCTGTTGTTGGAGTTCATACAGATTTGCAAAATTACCAACCGAGGAATATGTCTCTTCCACAGTCGTCCATAGCTCTTTAGTTATTTTCACAAACAGAAACCCCTTTGCTGATCTGTGACTGCATTGACTACAACAACCACGTCATAACTAGTGCATTATTTGCACTCCACTCTGCAATTCCTTTGATATGGTCGATCATCCTACAACCAGTCATATGCATACGAGCAAATTGAGCCCACTCCATATAGTTTTTCTCATCCAGCCTAATAGTCGTAATACAAAGGCCTGGATGGTGATCACTACTACCTCCGAATACTGGAGTCAGACTAGGAGAAGACCCAGCTTCTTTTGAAGTCACCTCTCAGGCAGACATTTTATCTAGCAATTTTTGGGTATACAATCTTCAGAAACAAAAGCAGCAACAAAATACGTAGAGAACCACCTCTCTACACACAGACTTCAATTTGAAAGATTACCGTCTTCTAAGATGCATAAAAAAGCGACCACACAGTCACCACACAAACCCTAGAAAGCAACAAAGTAGACCATACCAAAATCGCGAACGACGAAGAAAAAACCGCTATTGCAGAACCTTGCGAACACAAAAAAAAAACACCAATTGAGACTGCAATAGATAAAAACACAGGTCCAAAATTTTTTTTAACCCCGAGCAGGGGCGCGCTGCCCCCTGCGACCTGTAGCCAACTCACCGCGGAGTTGGATGCATGGTACACGTGGATGTGATTAACACTACTTCCTTGCAAACAAATCCCATCTTGGAATTTCTTCAAAACTCTTCACACCCACTAGGGTTTACATAAACTTGCCCTAGGGTTTCAACTACACACCTAGAGCTTTTCAAACCATGCTCTGATACCATATTGACTTTTAAGATATAATCAAATCAAGAGTAAGTGATAAAGAAGAAGAAAAAAAAGAAGAGAAGAAAGCGGATGAGAGAAAAAGAGAGCAATGGGGAAAGAGAGAAGGAATGAAAGAATACTTTCATCCTTCCACCACATTCTATTTATAATAACAAGTTTCAGAAATTGCACATAAGCCCCAAATTATATAAGTAATAACAAATAAGCCCCTGACAACATCGTATTGGTTTTGTTGATAGCGTGAGGTTGTAGGATATATGGTTGGTAGTTGTCTATGGGTTTCTTTTGTATACTCTCAGGCGCTCTTCCCGCTTGAGCTGTTTTAATAAAATTACTAATAAGTTTGATTGTTACCATCGTTATTAATGGCTTTAGTTCTAATAACTAGTAAGCTGTGGCTTACCCTTACTTAAAAAAAAAAATCTTGTAGGTTGTGGCTAGGTCATTATTACATTTTCCTTTATAATTGCACTCTCTTCTAAGTGAAAGAGAAGCCACATTCGAAAGGAAAATTACCCAGTACCAATTTATGTCAATTAATGTTGGCTGAGTTTCCAATTAAAAACTTAAATAAAAATTCTGACCTTGTTGGTAGTTGTCAAAAACATGTTAAAGAGAATTTGTGTTCATTTGAAAATGGATGAGTCACTGGATGTTAGAGCATCATTAGTAAAGGCTCAAGGCCCATAAAAGCTCCAAGGTATCCTGGAGTGCCATGCCCTAGATATTAATTTTTCAGAATAAGGGAATTTTTTAGCATTTAATTCAATGGATTAGCTAAATCGATATACACTATCTTTCTTTTTTTTTTCAATTAAATCAATATACGTTCGGAACAATTCAAAATTTGTAACACAACTGATCAAATGTTGTTAAAAATGGAAATTTTGACACATTAACGTAGAGGGGTCAAATAAATCAATGCACATAGATCTTTTTATATGCATGTGCATTAACTAAACCAAATCCTATAAAAAAGGTGTAATAATAGAAAAAATAATTTTGTAGATTTTGAACTTATGTTCTATTATCATAAAAATTCAGAATCAAGAACTTGACGCAATTAGTGTAAGTGGTCAACCATAAGTTCGTGAATTTTGTCAGATGCACCATAAAATTAGACAATATGTTCCTTCGAATATGACCATAATGTGATGTAGAGCATGAAAATTAATGGTCATTTGAGAGAGGATTAAACAATTAATGGTCATGTAAATATGAATGACTGAAGAAGCATGACATGTAATAGGTTGAGGCACTTGGCTGAGCCTTCGGGAGCCTAGGGCATTTTTGGAGCCTACTTGCACCTTTGGTGACTATTTATTAGAGTAGAATTGGATGAAGATATTTGAAGTGCCTTGTATTTTTAACATGAAGGAATTTAAATCGAATTTTTTTTGTTAAGTTGTGCCTATAGAAAAGTCCTTGATTTGCGAGGTTCTTTTTTGGATAAAAATTTATATAAGGTACTCTGTCATAAACACAATAAGAAAATAAGATTTTTATTTAAGAAAATGAAAAAACTCTCATTCATGCTCCTTTAAGAAAATTGGAGTCAACCATTGCCCATACTCAAACATGTTCGCACTCCATGGTAGAGCTTATTTATTTCCACGCCAACAAAGAATTGGGGTTTTGGTTTAAGATGAAAATTGTCGAATATTTCAAATGAATATAATTGCTTTAGCACCTATCAATAAAATGTTATTGCTTTAGCATAGAGTTAAGAGAAGAGGGGGAATAAAATGTAATGGCGTGGTTCGTAATCATGTCATATAGTCATGTGACTTGATCTTTATTTTTCGTACTTAACCGTATCATTTATGTACAAAGATCTAGCGGAATTTAATTATTTTATTTACTATTTAAAGAAGGGAAAAGATAACACTTGTATAAAATAAAATAAGGAAGGGAAACGCTAACCTCCCACATTCATGGAGAGTATTAGAGTGGCCCCACAATTGTATAACCAAAACTATCCCTACTATTTTACTCTTAACAAAATTAATTAGGCGGTTGGATATATAATTTTAGAATATTCAACCAAATTAATTATGGGAAGGCTTCAATTACCAACAGGCCTGTGGCCTAGCGGTACCAAGCCCCTACTTTCCAAAGGGAGGTCAAGAGTTTGAACCTCAGTGGAGGTATGTATGTGTGAGTACCAATTAGGGAAAAAAAGGCTTCAATTGCATCGATAAGTTAGAAAAAGAGAAAAATATTAATCTAATAAGTGAAGGTTGGAGGTTAGCTTATCCCTTTAAATAATACAAATGCATAGAGTGGCTGCCATCTATGTCGCCACGACCTCATGCGACATGGACACTTGATATTGAGATGACACGCCCTCAATGTTGAGAGATGGCTGCATATCAGGTGGCAGATGGTGGATAATAATAGAAATGAAACCACCAAGGATTGTAGCCTAGTGGTACTTCATCACCTTTCATAGTAGAAGGCTGAGGGTTCAAGTCCCCATAGGGACAAAGTGGGTGTGCGAATTCAAATAGGAAAAAAGAAGATAATAATAGAAATGAAGTCAACAAAGAAGATATTACCCTGCAATGGAATTATTATTTTTTATAGCCTATGAACTTTTTTTTATAAGTAAAGATGTATTAAAAAGCATTCAAAAGGGGGAATGCATCCCTCAGAAACGACACTTTATTATCTATGAACTTACCAACTAACATTTTATCTACTCTTCATTTTCATTGGTTTCTGGGCTTGTGAATGTTATGACTATATGTTTTAAGCTGATTTTTCCAATGAAAAAATAATAATAATCTTACTTTAAGCTGTGTTTTTTTTTTTTCCTCAGCTCAAGCATGCGCCAAAGATATACAAGAAAATTTCTGGACCTAATGTTGCCTTGAAGTTCAGCACTGATCGATACCATATCTGCAAGGAAGATTTTGAGTTTCTTTGGGTCCGCACAACAGATTTTTCCAGGATTAGGTCGATTGGACGATCATCTTCACTCTGTTTGGAAATTGCTGAAGGATTTTCTGCTTTAGATATTTTCACTAGTTTTCCATATGATAAGAAAGATCTAAAAGATCTAACTCTAGAAGAATTGGAAGAATTTTGTTCTGCATCTGAGCTGGTTCCATTAGTAACATGCCGATCAGATTCTAATTTAGCATATGAGATCCTTTTCCAGCTCAATTCCCTTGTTCACACACACAAAATTAGCCTTGCTGCAGTGGATGATCTGGTTGACATCCTTAGCAGTTCAGATGTGGACACTGCGATGTTGGTTCTTCAGAAAATGCACAAGTTGGAGTCTACTTGTTATGAGCCAGTGTCGTTTGTTAAAACCCGATTGCATATCCTAGGGAACAGTGGCATGAATATTTCTTCGTTATCACACAGCAGGTTAACAAATCATAATATAATGAGTTGTCATCGAGTCCTAATTACACCTTCAAAGATTTACTGCTTGGGTCCGGAACTTGAATCCTCCAATTATGTTGTTAAGAATTTTGCTTCATATGCTTCAGATTTTTTAAGAGTTACTTTTGTTGAAGAAGATTGGAGCAAGCTTCCTCCAAATGCCGTTTCTACTAGTATTCAGCAAGGTATCTTTTCAAAGCCTTACAGAACCCAAATATATCATCGAATTTTGTCTATTCTTCAAGAGGGGATTGTGATCGGAACCAAAAGGTTTCAATTTTTGGCTTTCTCAGCTAGTCAACTGCGTTCAAATGCTGTGTGGATGTTTGCTTCGAATGAGAATGTGAAAGTAGAAGATATTAGAGATTGGATGGGCTGCTTCAACAAGATCCGCAGTGTGTCAAAATGTGCTGCAAGGATGGGTCAATTATTTAGTTCTTCTACGCAAACTCTGGAAGTTCCTCCAAAGGAAGTTGAGGTTATTCCTGACATTGAGGTTACCTCTGATGGTGTTGGTTATTGTTTCTCTGATGGTATTGGAAAGATTTCCCTCTCTTTTGCTAGGCAAGTTGCTCAAAAGTGTGGATTGAGCCATACTCCTTCAGCGTTTCAGATTCGATATGGTGGTTATAAAGGTGTCATAGCTGTGGATCGTAATTCTTTCCGAAAGCTATCTTTACGAAGTAGTATGCTTAAATTTGAATCGAAAAACAGGATGCTTAACGTCACTAAGTGGAGTGAATCCATGCCTTGCTACTTGAACCGGGAGATTGTTTCACTTTTGTCTACCTTGGGAGTGGAGGATAAAGTTTTTGAGACAATGCAAGATGAACAACTTCGTCTTCTGGACAGAATCCTGACAAGTAGGGAGGCGGCATTGAATGTCTTGGACAGTGTGAATGAGAGTTATATTAAAAGCATTTTAGTAAAGATGTTGCTTCAAGGTTATGAGCCGAATATGGAACCTTACCTCTCTATGATGCTTCAAGCACATCGTGACAGCCAATTGACTGATCTAAGAAGCAGATGCAGGATATTTGTCCCCAAGGGCAGGATCCTAATTGGATGCTTGGATGAAACAGGCATTTTAAACTATGGCCAAGTTTATGTCCGAGTAACCATGACTAAAGCGGAGCTACAATGTGGGGAGCAGGGTTTTTTCAGGAAGGTGGATGAAACCACGTCTATACTGATGGGGAAGGTGGTTGTGTCCAAAAACCCTTGTCTTCACCCAGGAGATGTTAGAGTTCTGGAGGCTGTCTATGAGGTGGTGTTAGAGGAGAAGAATTTGGTGGATTGTATTGTCTTCCCTCAGAAAGGGAAAAGGTACTGAGCTCCTCTAAAGTATATCTTTACCACATATCGTAGTTAGAAATTATGTATTTACTCAATATGCCAATTTCTAAATAGGATCCAATTTCTTTAACTGATAGATCCCACAAATAGCATCTCCTTTTACCGAAACTAAATTTATTTGATATGAAGTTACTTTCTTATTTCACTACATTATCAGAAGGTTTCCAGCTGAGTAAAAATCATTTGAATCAAATTATTTTTGGTAGATGAATATTAGTTCACCAAATGATTAATAAAAGGTTTTGTTGAGTTTTTTTTTTTTAAGCAAGTAAAGATATATAAAAAGGCACTCAAAAGAGGAGCGCATCTCACATACAACTGCACAACGACAAAGGAACCACTATAGCCTCAAACTATCCACAAAAAACATGATATCCTCCACAGATTGACAATATTGCCCATTAACCCAAAAAGTAAGAACTAAGTATAAAGAATCTAAAACCCCAAATAGGAGTCTGCTCCCTTTTGAAGGACGTCCCATTCCTCTCGTGCCAATTATCCCACCATAGGCACAATGAGGCAACCCTTCAAGCATCTCGAGCTGTCTTATTCACTATACACCCTCTCCAAGCTTCGAGCAAGTTCCTCGTAGATAACGCGTGACCCAACTAATACTGAACAAGGCAAGGAGCAAATCTCATTCTTCCATAGTTACTGAATGATGCAAGAGGAGTTAACAATGATCCAGCGTCTTCTCCACATCGATCATCATTATCTTTCCCCAAGGATGCCGCCCATCTAAAAAAAGCCTCCTCCAACGGGGCTTTTGGAGGTGCAAAATAGCCTTCTAGTGGAATGGACTCACTTGCACATCTAATAACCCCCTTTAGAAAAAGTGGACCTTGAATCTCCTATGGGAGGAAGCCGCCCATACCCATTCATCCGTCCCCTCTCCATTTATCTGTTGACTATACAACATATCTAAAAGGATTCGGTTACATTCCCAGCGGGTTTGGGCTCGTGGAAACTTATACGTAGAGGTTGGGATGAATTTTCTAAAAGGATTCGGTTTAAGGTTCAAAGTGGAAGAAATGTCAGATTTTGGGAAGACATATGGTGTGGGGATTTGGCTTTGGCCCGTAGGTTCCTGCTTATGTACCGAATTTCTGTGAATAGAGATGTTTTAGTTGCTGATTATTATCGTCTTGATAATGGTAGGGTGATTTGGGATTTACGGTTTCGTAGACAGTTCCATGATTGGGAACTAGTGGAGGTTACAGGTCTTTTGGCTTTCATTTATAGCCAGATGGTGGTTGGGTTGGGCATGGATGAGATGGTGTGGGTGGGTGCCTCGAGAGGGGTGTTCGAGGTCAAGTCCTTCGTTTTTTAGTATGGTGGAGCTTCTTGGCCTTGTTTTTCCTTGGAAAGCTATTTGGAGGACGAAAGCACCACTGAAGGTAGCTTTTTTTTTGTGGACAGCTGCTTTGGGAAGCATCCTCACTATTGATAATCTATCTTATAAGAAGAAGTCAAGTTGTGGTAAACATGTGCTACACGTGTAAGAAGACTGGGGAATCTGTCAACCATCTTCTTATTCATTGCTCGGTGGCAACGGATGTTTGGACCATGTTTTTGGTTGCTTTTGGTATTCCATGGGTGTTCTCAGATTTTACGGTTGACTTGCTTGAGACTTGGAGAGGGTGTACAGTGGAGAGCCGAGTCAGAGATGCTTGGAGGGCCACTTCCTTGTGTATATGGTGGGGTTTGTGGTGAGAGAAAAATAGGAGATACTTTTGAGGGTGTGGAGTCTCCTATTTGGGCTATTAAGTATAGTATACTTTCTTCTTTATTCTTTTGGGTGAATGGGCGGGATTGTACATTAATGGTAGTCTTTTGGATTTTGTTGATAGCTTGAAACTTTAGTTCTTGGATGGCAGCTGTTTGGTTTGGGAGCGCTGCCCGTTTCAACGTATTTTTAAAGTCTTTTCATTATCTATGAAAAAAAGACTATACAACATATCTAAAGATGAACAAAGTCCTCCACCTCCTAATTTTTAAAATGCCTCCCGAACTGAATATCCCAAACCTATGAAGTACGGACACGAATACGGGACACGGGTATGACACGACACGGATACGGCGACACGGCAAATTTCAAAAAAATAGGACACGGACACGGCGGGGATACGCTTATAAAATTATATATATATATATATATATATATATATATATATATATATTCAAAATATAATTACTAGAATCTTGTACAGATAAATAAAATAATAACAAAGAACAGAATCAATTTCAATAATTTCATCTCCGTTATAAGAAAAATATAGACAAGACAAAACATAAAATAAATGAAAAATAAAGTTGATCCAAATTCCAAACGAAGATGTGCAGAAGAGACATAGCTATAATGAACTAAATATGTATATGAATAAACATATATACTTTTAGTCTTTCACAAAGTTTTGTTCATGTAACTTAAATATATATATATATATATATATATATATCTTGTTCATGAAGAGAGATAATTGAAGAAGAGGAGAGACTGAGAGGAGTGAGAGAAAATAAATTGTCTCACAGAAGTGTCGGACCGTGTGTCCGAGCCTCGGACACGCGTGTCCAATAAAAAATAATATTTGGACACTTTACAGAAGTGTCGGACACGTGTCCGAGCCTCGGACATGGGTGTCGGTGTCAAAAAAGTATCTGACACGGGTATGGGGTCCCTGGGAGGAGTGTCCGTGCTTCATAGTCCCAAACTAATCTTCCGCTATCAAGGTGGTAGCAATCAGTCACTGTAGAGAACGTGTTCGAAGCAATCCAAAAGAGATTTGGATAAACACCCGCCAATAGACGCCCTCCACACTAATCATCCATCCGATACCGAATGTGACGCTCACTACTTACTCTCTTGATATGAGTGGTCTTGAAATCTCACTCATTTTGAAAGGGGATCTAGTTGGATATCGGTTAAGAATTTTAACCTTTTCTTCTTGATAAAAACCTGCTTTATTGTTTTTAACTTTGTTGTACCCAAGAAATTGGGATAAAACCCTGTCATATTCAGTTTTTGTTATTCATAATAGTAATATTAGCATCGGTATATTATAAGGGAATTTGAGGAGATAAAATATTTAGAAATGATGTCTTTAGTATGTCCAACATGTTTGTATTTAATGCCTTCCAGTGAGTAATATTTCCAGTACTCTTGGCAACAACATGCTTTGTTGGTCATGAGTTCTACTTTTCCGTACCGGAAGGAGTATTTCTTTGTCTGTAGTTCTCTATTCAATCTTTTTCATGTTTAAAGAAATTCCGAATGGTTTCATTTACTTATTGAATCTTTTAAGTCGTATCCAATTAAGCAAGACAATATAGGATGGGAGGACTTTGAATATATAATTTTTAATTTTAATTTTAATTTATTTTTGCTCTATCCTTTTTTCTTTTTTCTCATTCTTGGTTGTTTTTTGTTCGGACACAGCTTTAGAGATAGGCATTTAAGAACTTGTACATAGAATAACATTGCATCTACAGGCCTCATCCAAATGAATGCTCCGGTGGTGATCTTGATGGTGATATATACTTTATAAGCTGGGATGAAAATATGATCCCATGCCAAACTGTGACCCCCATGGACTACACTGGGCGAAGACCGCGTATTATGGATCACGATGTGACTTTAGAGGTAATAATTTTGAACTGATCTCCTGTCGTTCATGGAAATGAAATGAGTGGTCTTGAAATCTTACTCTCTCTTAATCCCCATGGCACGGATATTTGCAGGAAATTCATAAATTTTTTGTTGATTACATGATTAATGATACGCTTGGCGCCATCTCTACTGCACATTTGGTACATGCAGACAATGAACCAGATAAAGCTCTTAGTCCAAAATGTCTTCAATTGGCTACCCTTCACTCCATGGCTGTTGACTTTGCAAAGACTGGAGCACCAGCTGAGATGCCTAGGTTTTTGAAACCAAAGGTTTTTCCGGATTTCATGGAGAGGGGTGACAATGTAACATACACCTCTCAGGGGGTACTGGGTAAGCTCTATCGTGCCACCTTCGAAACAACAGTGAACCAACAGTCAAACGTTGTTTGGTCAGAGAAGGTCGCACAAGATGCTTACGATCATGATCTTGAAGTTGATGGTTTTGAAGCCTTCATTACAATTGCAGAGAGCCACAAAAAGATGTATTTGGATAAGATCAGCACTTTGATGAATTATTACGAGGCAGAGAGTGAAGATGAGATATTGACAGGTAATCTGCGGAAAAGGTCGACGTATTTGCAACGTGATAATCGGAGATATTTTGAGACGAAGGATCGGATTTTGGTGTCTATCAAGAACCTGCACAAGGAGGCTAAAGGGTGGTTTGACAGCAGCTGCACGGTGAATGAGCAACAGAAGATGGCATCTGCATGGTATCATGTGTCCTATTTTCCATCATATTATGAAGAAAGCATTAACTGCTTGGGCTTTCCATGGATTGTTGGTCATATTTTGCTAAATATCAAGTCTGCTAGAAGCAGACAATTCTGAGTTTAAATACCTTGTATAAAAGTGAGATAGGGCCTGTTTGGTATGCATTTTGTTTTTGATGTTTTGGTTTTTGTCATGTATTGTAGCAATGAACAGTGGAAAAAAAGTGTTTGGTAAAAAATATTTTCTTTTGCACAATGTCAAAATGTTTCGTGAATAGTGGTGAAAAATCTAGACACTAATTTGGTATTTTTACTTGTTTCAGAATGTACTGTAGCAATGAATAGTATATTATTATTTTTTGAATAACTCTTAAATGACATTTTTCAAAAATATATTTTTCGAACTAGCAAATTTTTTTACCAAATAAGTGTTTCATATTTTTGTTTCTAAAAATTTTGCAAGAAATGGACGTTACCAAACATATTTCGGATTACTATTCAAAATACTGTAACAAATGTTTTGTTTTGTTTTGGGTTAAAATAAAATGTTAAAAACAAAACGCGAACCAAGCATAAGCTTAATATGTGAATTAAGTATGGTTTGGCTTTAGCTTTGATTTTTAATTAAATGTAATACATTAGAGGGCTAAAATCATAAAACACTCATATTGTTTTCCAATTCGTCATATCACGCCCTTCAACTAAGGAAACTATCATATTACTTTCTTGATGTTTTAAAAAGTGTATCATATCACCTCATCCCCTGTTGGTTTTTCGTGTAAAAATAATGGGATCGTATCATGTGACAATCACATGCAATAGGTGCATAAATTTTCTGACTAAAATAACCTTGTAATTTGTAATGACAAATTTGCCCTTCTCACACTTTAAAATCAAGAATTTGTTTAATAAAATATTACCTTAATATAGTATCAAGGGCATTATCGTCATTTCGCAGCAATTTAATGGTTCGTCACGAAAGGGCCTAAATTTATTCTGTATAATCTTATCACTATAGATAGATAGACAGACTTGTAAATAGATCAGATTCGGATTTAAATCAGATTAGTCAGATATGGGTTGAATAAAAAAATCCGATAACCCAATTAAAATTCGAATTCGATAACCCATTAACTTAACAAATCAAATATGAATTATGCTATCCTATCCAAATAAAATTATATATATAATAATATATTATATTATATATATACCAATACTCGTATTAAATTTGTATTAGAGGTAATCAAAAAAATAATAATACTACAATAATCATAATGTTATATGTACGATAGCGTGATCTTCTTACTCACATAATATTAAATCTTCTTATGTACATACTAATAATTTTATAATATTTATTCATTAAAAAATTAAGAAAGAGTAAACATCTAATTTTTTTTTTTCTTTTCCTTCCATATTTTATTTATCTTTTATTTTTTATCATTTTTTTTTCTTCTAATTATTGTTTTTTATCTCTTTTGATATTAATTTCTTTTATTTTCTTTTCCTTTTTATAAAAAAATCAATTAAATTGAATTTTTTTTTTCTTTGCTTAAGAATTAATTGACATCCTTTCTATTCAGCAAAGTTAGTGGCAGCTGGCAATTTAAGCCGAACGCCAAACACTAAGCCCTAAAATACATTCTCATTTTGTCTATTTACAAGAGGTGAGGGTGAGAAGGCCTAAATTTGCATCTAGTTCGTAAGGACCCATTGTTTCCATAGGACATTCGGTAATTCATCCAGCCACTTTCTTTTTTTGTTTTTGAGTTTTTTTTGCCAATCAATCAATCCTCGGCAACGGCGCCAAAAACTTAGCGCTTTATGAGCTGTCTTTCGTTTGACCTTTTGTTTGGTCTCAAAACGATGCTTTTTGCAATAACTTTTATTAATTGCACAATGACCCCTCCAAAAAGTGAAAACTACGTCATCTATTCAAATCTTGAAAAAGATCAAGCGAATTCACTTTTGAATGTGCATAAGGAAAATAAGGAAGCTAACGACTTGCATCGCATGTCGTTAAAAGCCTGCAAAAACCCTAAAAAACTTGTTTTTAACACTTTAAGAGAAGGGTTGCAAGTGTCAGAGCCAAAGTGTTTGTCTGGTCGGATTTCCGTTTTAACAAATCATATATGGATTCACTTACAAAAAAAAATCCATCGAATTATCGGATCGAGTAAAATACTTATTGGATTCGAATCATATCAGATCCGGATCCAATCCATTCACAGATCTACTATCAGGTAGACCTGTCAATGGATCGGATTCGGATCGGATCGATCAAATCCATATCCTATTTGTTAAGCAAACGATTATTGGATTCGGATCACTAACGAGTTCTCGGACTGAATGTCCCAATCCATATCCTAGTTAGCTCAGACTCGGATCGGATTCAAAATCGGATTAAATTAATATTTATTAACATATATAATTATAAAGAGTATGATATTATTAGTATGTGTACTAAGAGATTTATTAGCATGTGGATGAGAACATCACAATATTTTTATATAACATTATTATTATTTTGGATTACCTTTAATACAATTCTAATAAGAGTATTGATGTATATATGTGTAAAATTATTGATAAATAATTATATATATATATAATTATTTATATATATAATTTTAATCGGATCGGATCGGATCAGTATAATCCATATCCGATTTGTTAAACTAACAGATTATCGGATTCGGATCGTAATCGGGTTATCGAATTTTTTGTTCAATCCATATCCGACTAATAGGATCAGATTCGGATCGGATCCTGATCAGGATCCACTCCATTGACAGATCTACTAACAGGTGCTACCCCTGGTTTCTTCCTCACATCCATTCTTAGCATCCTCATTTTTGCGACATGCCTAATAATTGTTCTATGACCTTAGATAAGAAAATGTTCACTTTGGATAATCCTTTGATTTTAAAGTATAACCGTTTCGTCATTAAAAAAAGTTCTCAATCTTGGACCTTTTAGATTCCAAGGCAATCCACCTTTTTTTATTTAATTTTTTTTTTTTAGGAAGGTAAGTTATATATTATAAACTGAGAGTACAAGGGAAAGCCCAAAACAGAGGCCCAAAACAAGCCATACAACAGTTGAAAAAGACAATAATATTCTAGAAGCCCTAGAATAGGCTTGTCTGAAACAACATGACATCCGGTGTGGTGAGTGCGATGAGGCAGAGCCTCTAATGTTCAGTCTGGCTCCGATGGAGGCCTGATGAAAGACTGAGGGAGACCCCATTCAAGAACGATCCTTCTCGCCATAGGAGAATCCCTTACAGTGAAGGAACTAAGCCTTTGCTTCACTAAATCCATGGTGCGCTATAGCAACCTTGTTTGAGTTTGTCTTCTATTTTTGAAGGCTCTTTCATTGCAGTCCATCCAGATCTGATTTACAAAGGTGGATAAAACAAGCTTGTTGATCGAGTTTTGCAGGTTTCGTCCCCTCCAACTAAATGAAGCCCAATCAATGAGATTTTCCCAAGAAGAGGGCAAGGTACGAATTCGACATAAATTGTGCAGAAATTTCCAAATTGGGTTGATGAAGGGGTAGGAAAAGAAGAAGTGATCATGGGTTTCATCAGCAGAGTAGCAAAAAGGGCATAATCTGGATCCGGTGAAAGATTGCATGCATTTCCTGTCATACGTGGAGATGCGATTCTGAATACCCAGCCCAAGAGTGATTTTGCATCGTGGAATGGAGAACGACTGCCAAACCAGATGTTGCCATTGCCTTGGTTGGTGGTGGGGTGCAAGCCAATCAATAGTATGCCTGATAGAGAAGTCACCCGAGGGTGAGGGGATCCATGTGGTGGCATCTGGAGATGAAGATGGAGGATTGATCCGGAGAAGGTCCTGAAATTGCAAGGTAAGTAAAGGTGGAAACTTCCAGCCCTCGTTCCCAATTAGTGAGGATAGACGCTGTCCTGGCGTAATAGGCGAGTTGTGAACTAGGTCAGGGGTGGCTAGGTAAGCGAGTGGCCCAATAGGGAGCCAGTTTTCCTCCCAAAAGTAAGTTCGGTTTCCATCTCCAACCTTCATTTTAATCATAGAGCGAGCAGAACCACGAAGCTGCATAAGCTTCTTCCAGTTACTTGAACAAGCCTGTGGAATATTCATAGTCCAGAAACATATTCCTCGAATGAGATGTGTCTTAACCCATTGAGTCCATAAATTATCCCTACGCTCAAACACGACATTCCAAAGGAGTTTAAGACAAGCAGCATTATTGTAGACCTCTAGGTTCCGAAACCCTAGGCCTCCACAGTTTTTGGGCTGACAAACAGCATGCCATGCAATTTTTGCCCCTGTGGATGAGAGCTCATTCCCTTTCCAAAGGAAGTTCCTTAGAAGCCCATTAATCTCTGACAAAACTGACTTAGGCAAGATGAAGATGTTTAGCCAGTAGCTGACCATGCTGTAAAGCACCGAATGGATTAATTGAATTCTGCCTGCATAGGAGAGAAAGCATGAGGACCAATGAGTGATTCTTCTAGTAACCTTCTCCACCAGGGGTCTACAGTCAGCTGCTGTAAGTGATGAGGAGATTAGAGGAACCCCAAGATATCTCATAGGCAGCTTCCCACATGCAAACCCCAATAAATTCTCAATTTCAATAGCAAGCTCAGAATTGACTCCAGACACAAAGAAGTTGCTTTTTGAGTAGTTGATACTGAGTCCAGAGAGAAGAGTGAATTGGTCAAGAGCCCTCTTTAGTGTACCAATTGAGGTCAGGTCCCCATAGGAAAATAGAAGCAAGTCATCAGCAAAAATGAGCTGAGAGATAGCTAAATTCCTGCATCTTGAGTGAAACTTAAAAGAGGGGTTGGCAGCAATAAATATTTTTGTGATAGATGTGAACACCTCCATAGCAACTACAAAGAGTAGGGGGGAGATAGGGTCCCCTTGCCTCAATCCCTTCACCCTCGAGAAGTGGCCGTGAAACTCCCCATTAATTGAGATGGTAAAAGAGGGAGATGTGATACAAGCTTTCACCCAATTAACAAAGGAGGGTGGAAAGTCAAAGAGAGCAAGTGAGTCCAAGATAAAGTTCCATCCCACTGAATCAAAAGCCTTCCTTAAGTCGACTTTGACAGCACATCTTGGAGGGGCAAGGTGTCTGTGATACCCATGGAATAGCTCTTGGGCAAGGAGTACACTGTCACCAATATGTCTCCCTTTTACAAATGCATTTTGACAGGGGTCAATAATAGAGGGTAGGACTTTCTTGAGCTTATTGGCAATGAGTTTGGCAATGCACTTGTAGATAGTGTTGCAGCATGATATAGGTCGAAAGTTATTCAGTGAGGATGGGTTAGGGACTTTGGGAACCAAAGCTATATAGGAATTGTTAATTTCTTTGAGGAGGTTTCCACTGAGAAAGAAAGCTTTGATACTTAAAACAATGTCATTCCCTATAATAGGCCATGCTTTATAAAAAAAATGTGCATTGTATCCATCAGGTCCCGGAGATTTTTCCTTATTGAGGGCTAGGAAACAAGCTTGAATTTTAGCTTCAGAAGGAATTGAGACAAGGTCATCTAAGAACTGTCTGGGAAGAGATTTTGTGATAAAAGGCTGTAGTTGTGCAATTCCAAGGTAGGGAGGGGGTGATGAACCCAATAGAGTTTTAAAATGGGAAATAATCTCAGCATTAATAAGAGATACTTGGTCAATGGAAGATCCATCTCTAGCAGTCAAGCAGGTGATCTTTTTCCTATTGATTGTTGAATTGAAGATTTTGAAAAAATATAATGTATTGCTGTCCCCAACCTTCAACCATCTGACCCTGGATTTTTGCCTGATAAAATGCTCCTCTGAGAGAGCTAGGGAAGTATACTGCTCCATAAGCTCCTTCTCCACCAACTTTAGGTGCTCATCCATAGGGTTGCAATCCAACTGCTCCTGACAGTTAAAGAGTGTAAGCTTAGCCTGACTAAACATCTCAGAAGCTTGAGAGATCTCCACTCTACATCTTTGCTTGAGCAGCCCTTTTAGAATCTTCAGTTTCTGAACAATCTTGAACATGGCTGACCCCTCAATAGGATTAGCCCAAACCTCCTCAACGGTAGTAAGAAACTGGGGGTTGTCAGCCTAAACCTCCCCAAACGTCTACAATGGACATCTCTATTTTATAGGTCAGATGTGTGTCAACATTTAGTGGTACAATAAACATTAATTTGAGAAAGAAAAAAAAAATTTGAAAAGCAAGAGAAATAAAATGTCTGTTCCCCTATTTTGAATATTCTATCAAACCACTTTATTTCATAATAAATAAAAATAAAAATAAAAATAAAAATAAAGCATCATAAATCATAATTTAAACCAACCAACAAAACCACAATTTCAATATAATAAACACACATGAAAAGAATAGTGATATAGTTGTCAAGTGTTAACTGTCACAAGACACCGGAACATCCCGGACATACTCCTGACTCGGTCCCTATGCGCCCTCCCTATGCGCCCGGGACATACTCTGACCTGATCCCACCTAATATAAAATATGGTAAAATTTTAATTTATAAAAAAATTTATATACAATGCCTCCTTAAATTTTTAATTTTTAAAATTATATTCTAAATTTTTCTTTCCTTTTTCGTTTGCTCTTAATATTCTTTTGACTTTCTTAAAAAAAAAATTAAATTTTCCTTCTTTACTCAAACTCTTTTTAAGCCTCCCAAAGTTCTCATTTTTCTTCCTTTTATTTTTTTTTTCAATCACTAAAATTTTCTTTATAAACAAAGACCATATGAAAATTTTCTTTAATCTCTAATAAACCGAAAAATATATAATAATAATAATAATAAAAAAAAAAAAAAATTCACAAATGGCACAACCTCAATCCTCATCCCACCAACTGGCGCAATTTAGCCAATCCGGCGCACCAACTGGTTTTTCACTCTTCAATACTCACCTGAAATTCAGCCCTACCTTGCCGATAACCATCGACGATCTTCGCCGATGCCGGAACCGGGGAGTACCGAGTCGAGAAGTTCCGAAACCAACCGTCCTCATCGGAATTACCGTTTTGACCCGGCCCTTGGTCGAAGTTGAGGGCGTAACTGAGAGGATCGTATTGGAATTTCGCGTTCCTTCCTCCTCCTCCTCCTCCGACGAGGCTTCTGTTCCGATTGAACCGTCGTATGAAGGTCTTCCACCTGGGACCGGCGACGATCTCCGACCACTCCCGAAGCTTCTTGAGTACTCCGATCCCCCGGGCCCACCAGCCTTCCTCGATCTCCGCCGGCCGCATCCTCTGCCACCAATTCCTTCCGATGGTCGCCGCCAATCTATTGGAACCGAATCTTGGTATGCAGAAACAACAACGTCTCTTCGCGATGAACATTTCTGTAGCCATCTCTTCATGCTCGAAGTGAGAGAATTCACCACCTTCACTACTCATCTCTCTCTCTATATATCTATGTATATATGCACAGAGGTTGGTTTTGAGGTTTTAGGTAAGACTTAGGCACCTATAAAGGAAACATATGAATACAGTTCATTTTAATTTCGCTCCTTCCTTGCTTTGCTTACCCAAATATATATATATATATAGATATATATATATACTGATTTACACCAAGTAGTTAGGCATAACTACATGATCCTCTCCTCACTTATCAGTGATATTTTTGTAGCATTCATTTCTAATAGCAGCTGGCCATTAATGATTGATTTGGCTGATGTCATGGACTTTACGATCTTTAGAATACCCATCATATCCTCCTATTCGAAAAGGATGCAGCCCAAAACGGTGCGGTATTAATGTAGTTTTGAACTAAATTATATTTGATTCTAAATTCAAGTGGCTGATTCGATGCCTTTAGCATAGATATCCTAAATAACATAGGTCTTCCGTTTAAAATATAACCACCTCTGGTTTAGGTCTAAGTGACATTGACTTCCTTTGTCATAAAATATAAGATTAGTATATGATGATATCATCTTTAAAATTTACTTAAAATCTGATAATGTTATTAGAAAGTTTGAAAATGTTATTTTGACTATATGTTTAATTATTAAAATTAAAATGAGTGTAATAGTCATTAAACACATTCAAATCAAGGTCAATATCGATTAACATGGGACATTATCAATGTTATTTTTGAAATTATAAGAAAAATGTTTATTATTTCGGTAATTTATAAAAGAGGTAAATATAGTATTTTTTATTTTTTATTTTTTATTTTTTATTTTTTTTAAAGAAGTGAATGTGTTTTTCAGAGTATATGCTTGAAAATAATTACTCTAATAAATATTTTAAAATATTAATAACTTAAAAATATAATTGACTAATGGGATTTTAGATAGATGTCTATGGAATTGAGTTTGCATCAAGGCATGATTAGTGAGAGTGACAACCCATAAGTACCGGTAAATATGTTTGGCTCATCCGTCATCATCTACCTTACCTAATGCTGGGAAAGGGTATCACGGTAATTTAATAATTTGGTTGGTGAGATGTGATGATGATCTAGTGCTTCGCGAGTGATGGTATGTCAAGGAGGTGGGGTCTCACCAGGTGTGATCAAGTGGGAAGTTAAGTGGGATCCACACGTAATTTATGATTGCCAAGGAGACAAGTGGGGTCAACAAATTGTATTACTCTGGGCCCACCAGGTTGTTGCCAGCAAATCAGGCCATAGGGATTTTCTTTCTGGCAGGAGGCGAGAAAAGGAAAGAAAATCATTTTCAATGGGAGCTGTGAGATAAGGAAAAATTATATGGGATTACATAATGTGACCATCACAACTTAATGCATAAGCAAATGTTTCAACCATAAAATATTTAGAATCAGTGAAATTTAATCATAAATAAGTAAAAAAATAATGATAAACAAGTTGATTTTTCAATGTATCTAATTAACTGATTTATATAAATGTTGATGACATTATTACTGTTATTAAATAAAATGATGTCATTATGTATTCATGTATAATACATATTAATTAATGAAAAATCAAAATAGGCATATTTCTACTCCACTTTTATTAAAAAATAACAAGAAAGTCGTTGAGTTTATTAATGCATCATTACCCATTTTATAATACCTTTTTCGTCTTACCTTATTTACTTTCTTTGCTATATATATTTTTTTATTTTTTACATAAATCCTTAGTCTTTCAATTTTATTGTCAAAAGAGTTCAGACTTTTTATTAACAAGCACACATTAACTTAAATATTCAAATTAATTATAAAAAATCACATCAAAAAAAAAAAAAAAAATCAAATTAAACTCAAAACATAAAATAGAAAGAATTTTTTTTTTTATTTTAAAAAATTACCATTTCCACCATCATACAAATTAATTCTTAAAAATTACATTAGAAAAAAAAAAAATTCAAAGGTAACTCGAAACATAAAAGAAAAATAAAAGAAACAAATTGCCATTCCCATCAGTATTATCATCAAAGTAATTTATGGTTCATGAAGTTTTAATAATTATTCAAATTTTTTTTTTAATGCTAACAAGATTAATTACATAGTTAATCTCTGTTATTTCTTCATTTGTAAAAATTTTCATTATCACTTACAAATATCAATATCTAATGAGAGAGAGAAGAAAAAGTTAGTACAAAATAGAGAGAGAGAGTTTAGAAAGGCAGGAAGTAAGAGAAAAAGAGAGTTTAACCAAAAAAAAAAAAAATATAAGAAACCAAAAACATTAATTGGGAAAGAGGGTGGAGACAAAATGATCTTATCATAACTGAAAAAGGTAATTGTGGTACTTGAAAAAATAATTATTAATTTTTAAATATAGGATTAGAAGTGTACGAATATCGCCTCACAAAATCAAAATCTAAAACATATATATAATTTGTATATATTCATTTGTTTGTCAAATTGCATTAACCATTCTATGTACAGTGATTTATGGTATTACTATATATAATTTGTAAGTAGTATTTATTTGTTGGTCAAATTGCATTAAACCTCTCTGTGTTTTTAAAACGTTTCAAAATATTCCCTTTACTTTCAATTTTTTTATTTTTTATTTTTGCAACAAACACTCTTAATTTACCATTTATTGTGATGATGTAAATAATAAACAATTTTTTAACTTTTAGAACTGATGCCACACTATCATATAAATGTATCAAATGCATGATTCACTTTGGTCTAGTCTAATTTATCAGTTATAAAGATTGTTACTCGAAGTGTTGGAAATAAATGAAATACATATACTCATGATTCACTTTTTCACAATGAGCTCAATTGTGTAAGCATTGAGCTACACTTTACTGGACTTAATTGAGTAATGCGCCTAAGCCAATATTAGTTACAGTTTGGTCTAATGCACTTTTTAGGCTGTTTTTGATGTTCGACCTTATGGATTAGAAAACATTTTCCTTATTCCAGGTAAAGAGTGTTACAAAAATAAATAAATAAATAAATGAGGTATTTCAATGTAAACTACTTTAATTTTAAATTGTAAATTCTTCTTACTCAAGCATGAAATAGTAAGCAGGTAAAAGTAACTTTGGTTACTGAGTTAGGACTAAAACCTAACGTCAATTTCTCAACCCAAAAAAACCACGTGACTGGGAAAAAAATACAAATATAAAATGTTACATCAAGTGTCAAAAAGTACTGACGCGACATTTGAAAATAAGAAGTATATTTTCAATGTGCCTGGTGCACCATGCACGACCATCATAATCGTTCATATCCACGCGTGCTGTGCACGTGAATGTAACGTGTAACATTGAATATCTTATCGAAAATGAGGGATGGATTAAAGATTTCGATTTTGTCTTTTTAGCAATAAAAAGCACAATGGCATAACTCACGCTTCTCGAAAAAATAAAATAAAACAAAATAGAGAAAAGGGAAAAGAATGAGGTATAAGAACAAAATGAGTATAGGTATACCAACTACTGATGTTCTTATATTGTATTTAACGTACTCATTACAAACATCAAAAACTCTGGCTAAGAAGGTAGGTTGCTCCAAAAGATGATGTACATGTTATAGAAAATACACAGCCATCTTTGATGCAAAGTTGCAAACCAATTCATGTTAGACCTATTTTTCTTTTTTATATCTATCCTTACCACTAAACCTGCCAAGTCATGAACTGATTGTATCTGTATGTTAATATGTAACCCAAAATTTAAACCATGTACCTGCACCAGAATCCCTCCATATCCAACCAGTCACACCCTTCCGGCATTTTTATCAATTCCCGACGACAACCAACGAAAGGTGATGTTGCATTGCAACTCAATCAGATGATGAAGTTGAAGCAGCCGCTGCAAGGTCTTGAAGCAATGTCAAAACATCATCAATATCGTCTAGAAAGTATGTGGCTTTACTCGGTTTTTGGCCAACAGTGCATGTGAAGATCTCTGGATTCGAAGGAAGTGATGCACTACAACCTGTGGTGGCTAATATGCTCTCAAACATGTCCTCATCCGATCTATCATCACCAATACACAACACAAAGTCTGGTGGCTTTCCTTTACCAGACATTGTCGAAAGAACTTTCTCTACAACCACACCTTTTGTCACTCCCTGTGCATGTGACGAGGCAATTGTTAGGCCGTTTGGCCATAACAAAAGATCAAGAATCGAGAAAAAAAAGAAAAGAAAAAAAAAAGAGGCTGTATATATGTACCTGTGTTTTAACTTCAATGATATGCTTGCCTCTCTTGACAACTACAGGCTCATTTGCAAGGACATCTTCAAGATGATCCAACATTTCCTTGGCCTGACAGGATCCAAAAATAGGGTCTGCATCTCCGTGGTTCCACACTAACCCACTCTCTTTCGCCTCTATAAAAGAGCCATCAGTTGACTCCAAGTATGTTGCCATAACCGGTTCTGCAAGTCTTTTCCAATCAAAATCAGAAGTTAAGGGACTGGATTCCCAATTGGACATTCTACTCCACCTAAAGAGAAAGCAAAGGAAACCCTCAGTCAGCTAAAAAATTCATCGAAATTGCAGCCAGAAAAATAATAACCATTATATTCACAAAAATAAATAAATAAATAAAAGTAATAACCATAACCATTATATTCACAAAAATAAATAAATAAATAAAAGTAATAACCATAATAAAACCCTTAGTTTCGCTAAAAACAGACTGCCTCTCAATTATTTCACAAAAGGTCGAAGTTAAAAGTGTTGTATGACAAAACATCTAAATAAGACATTATTACTATTATATTTGGATCCAAAAGAGTCTTATTTAGCAAAGTCACCATAAAGTCAAGATAATGTGCAAGAAGAAGGCTGCAGTAGTAAGGAGTGATATAATTTGAGCCGATTAAATCTGGATTCAGCATATAAAGAAGGAAATGGCCTTATGATAAGAGTATAGTGATGGAAAAGTACTAATGCATTCATGTATATGAGACCTAGGCTTTGATCAAGCTGTGTTGACTCGAGCGAGGGCTTGACCACCAAATAAGCAGAGCTAAAAATATTGACAACTACATACCTTACAAAGTATCCATGTTCAGCTGCTATTCCTAGATTCTCGCACTTTGAAAGCCATCCACTTAGAGAGTCTTGCCCCCTTCCGCTAACAACAAAGACAGTGTTCTTAGGGTCACTGCAGAGATTCTCCAGAACAGAAATGACATTAGGATTGGGTTCTTTGACAATAGCAGCATCGGGCACCAATGTACCATCATAATCCAAAAATACCGCCCTGCTTTCTGCCCTCTTATATGCCAAGCCGATATGATTAATAGAAAGCCTCTTAAAAGTTGGAGAAAGTGACATAATAATGTAACCTAGACCAAGACCAAGGCCCCAGCATTGTTTACCATACTGCTCTCTGCATGCTCGCACTAAATCCTGCACAACACTGCGAGCCCAGTAAGTCACATCATGAGAGCTCACATAACGGTAGTGCTTCTCATGCCGCAACTGTTTCTCCAAATTAGACATTGTGATGGCCGCATTTAGTGCTTCAGCTACAGCATCAATATCCCATGGATTAACCCTGATTGCCCCACTTAGAGAAGGTGAGCACCCTATGAACTCTGAAAGGACAAGTGTACTTGTACGAGGGGATCCATCTGCAATACCCATAGCTTCATCCATTTTTGGAGTTCCCTGCCTGCAAACGATGTACTTGTATGGCATAAGGTTCATTCCATCCCTCACAGCATTCACTATGCAACATTCTGCCAAAGCATAATAGGAAGTCTTTTCATAGAGTGGAACATAACGGTCAATTAGGATCACTGGTTCATAGCCTGGAAAGCCATAAGTTTCATTTATCCTTGTGGCAGTTGCATACGTCTCCATTCTTGCTTCCTGAACATCTTTCCCTGTGCTCCTTGCAGGATTCACAATTTGCACCAAGACTAGTTTGCCTTGCCACTCTGGATACTGTTTTAGAAGCTGTTCCACAGCTAATAGTTTCAGACTAATGCCTTTAAAAATGTCCATGTCATCGACGCCCAGAATAAGTTTCTTCCCCTTGAACTGTTCTTGGATTTCTTTGACTTTGGAAAATGACAACGGGTGGTTTAAGACAGATTCAAGTCGGCCCATATGAACCCCCACAGGCAATATCTTGATATACACAGTTCGGCCAAAATAGTCAACTCCAATATAACCCCGCTTAGATTCATAGTTTAGCCCCAACATTCTACTACAACAAGACAGAAAGTGACGAGCATAATCATATGTTTGAAAACCGATTAAATCTGCATTCAGCAGTGCTTTTAGAATTTCGTCCCTTACTGGCAGAGTTCGGTATATTTCTGATGAAGGAAATGGACTGTGAAGAAAGAACCCAACCTTGACTCGATGGGCACGCCTTCTTAAAATTGTGGGGAGAATCATAAGATGATAGTCATGAATCCATACATAATCCTCTTCAGGACTGCTAACCTCCCTGACTTTATCTGCAAACACCTTATTAGCAGAATAATAGGCCTTCCAAAGCGACTGGTCGTAGCGATTGCCATAGTCCGGACACAAGGGCAGCAAGTAATGGAAAAGAGGCCACAGATATTGCTTACAGAACCCGTGATAAAACTTCTCATGTAGTTCACAAGAAAGAAAAGTAGGCACACAGTTAAACTCCTCCAGCAATCTATTGGCTACTTCATCTTGTTCACTTGCATCTACATCAACCTTCAGAGATCCCACATAAAAAACATCAGTTTCACTTCTGAAACCATCCTTCAATTGTAACAAAAGTGAATCCTCGTCAAAACTGAAGCACCATGCGCCTGTCTCTAAATCCTTCTGAGCATGTAGCGGCAGAAAATTTGCCACTATAATCACTTTCCCCCGGGACGATGGGGAGTTAACATCTACATCTTTACTCTCACTACCTTGACCTTCTAGCAGTTCACCAGCAGTTGTCACCACTGGAGGGATTTTAGCAGTTCGAGACATATTTCACAGTTCCCCAAGAACCTGTTTGGAAGGTTTTAGTAAAAAAATATGTCACGATTAGTATGAAAATGACATAATGCTGAAAAATATGTGCAAACATTAAATAGATAGGTACACATCACTTGGAAATAATATATTAGTCCACAAATCTTCCATATAAGGTCAAACATCACTCGAGTTTTTAAACTAAATTACATACTATTCCCTGTTCTTTCCCTCTCCACAGTAGGTCTTTTATGGATCAGACAAATAAACAAACTATGTCATTCAGGGAAAAAAAAAAAAAAAAAACTTTGTCACTGAAGAGAAGAAATGCTAAATGTTTCAACAATCAAATATGAGTTAGAAAGATCCAAATTATAGAAATATTAAAATAACAATGAAGATGGGTTCTTAAATACCAATCAAATATGAGTTAGAAAGATCCAAATTATACAGAGACATGTCCAGGTGTCGTAGATGCCAGAGATACCAATGTGCTGCGGTTACACAACCTTCAGAAATATATATATATATGAAAAATGAAGAAGGAAGAGATAGGACTAAAGCCTCAGATTTTCCATTACAGATGACATTGTTATTTCAAGATTTTGTTTCAAAATCCATGGCTCATATAACTAGTTCATTTACTGATGTAAATCTATGTTAAATATATGGTTCTTCTTAATGGAAATTTATAGTATCATTTTGTTTAAATATAAAACATAAGACCGGATGCTAAATTTCCTAAAGCTCATCATCGTTATGTAAGAAAAAAGTGCATACATCAAAACTTAGTAGGATAGCAAGAAAAAATAGATAAACATCAACCGTTAAGAAGCTGATAAAAGCTCCCATAGCGAGGCAATTGTACCAAGTATCAACATATACCCCATATTAGTTGCAATAGTGAATTTACAACTTTAAGTGGCGGTTGTGACCGCCGCCATAGTATATAACAAGGTCAATTTTATTCCAATCTTTAGCGGCGGTTCTGGCTGCCATTATAAAGACAAATTTCTACCAACCAAATTTGTAAATGCTAATTCAGCAGCCGCCGCCATGCAACAAAAAGGGACGAGCCTCAGGTCTTCCATTACAGATGACATTGTTGATTCAAGTTTTTGTTTAAAAATCCATGGCTCATGTAACTAGTTCATTTACAAATCCATGGCTCATGTAACTAGTTCATTTACTAATGCAACTCTACATTAAATATATGGTTCTTCTTAATAATATTAAAGTTCCTAGGAGAGAAAGGAAATTTATAGTATCATTTTGTTTCAATATAGGACATCAGACCGATGCTAAATTTCCTAAAGCTCATCATCGTTATGTAAGAAAAAGTGCATACATCAAAACTTATTAGGATAGCAAGAAAACAGAGATAAAAGCTCCTATAGAGAGGAAGTTGTACCAAGTATCAACCTATACTCCATATTAGTTGCAATAGTGATTTTACAACTTTAGGTGGCGGTTGTGACCGCCGCCATAGTATAGTGAAGTCAATATTATTCCAATCTTTAGCGATGGTTCTGGCCGCCGTTAGGAAGACAATTTCTACTGTCCAAATATGTAAAGGCTAATTCAGCAGCCGCCGCCATGCCCCCACTAGAACTTTAGCAGCATTTTTTTCAAAATTTAGCAACGGTTTTGACACCCGCTGGAAGCCGTACTTTGTTGTAGTGATATCAATATAGCCACATTTATAATTCTGAAACTAGTACCATTAGTTGGCCTGATACTGATTCCAGGAGGATACTCAAATCAAATAGATTTTAGACTCGGTTGAAATATCTCAAAAACATGAAAAAGAGACTCTGTAAAAGAGAGTTATATTATTCTTTTGCCGTTGGTTTGTAACATTTTCTTACTCAGAATTAGAATATATAAATTTAATGTTCCCAGACAAACAAAGAGGATTTCTTCCAAACAAGAAAAAAAATCCCAAATATCCTTCCAATCATTAACAGAATAGTGAAAATTTCCATTAAAGGAATACACATTGCCATTTATGATGTTCATATCTATATCAATCCTTACTAAACTACAAAATAAGTAAACTATATATAACAATATCCTCACAATATATATCCTTAATACAATGTGTGTATGTGTGTGTAATTTCCAAGATATCCTTCCCTCTTAGCAGGCTTCAAAGCAGTCTTTTTGCTGATTATACTCTTTGGATTTCTAGCAATTTTGGGCATTACACTTGCCAAAAATAAATAAATAAATAAATAACCTAAATATCACCTATATTTTACTAATCCCATTCAATTCATAATGTACCAAATTACAAATTGATCACATATTACTATAATCTAGTTGAAAATTTCAAATAATTATGGAAAGCACATGCATTCTTCTGTTATACAATAAAGAAGGGGTAAAAGCCATTCTTGTATTTTCTTTGAGCAATACCTGTAATTAATTAACAAATTCATAAGCTCCAAAACATTCAGTGCCAAAAAAAAAAAAAAAAACCCAAAATCAACTTTCGAAAAAAATAAATAAAATTCCCAAAATCCCAATTCTGATACCATGCTTCAATGATCGTCTACGGTTCTAAATCTGAAACTAGAGTTCTTCAATTTATAAACTGTTACATTCTTACAGTTTCAAGATTCTTTGAACTGTTCTAAGAAGTTGAACTCAGACAAAATCCATCAACATATAAACATATACAAATGAAATTCACACAGTGTGTTGTATTTAATTGTGTAGAACCTTTGTAATGGAGAGTCTTAACAACAAATTGCTGAGGAAAAGAACCCAAAAATTGTTAATCGAGACATATATATATTTATATATACACACACATTGATATATACATATATATAGATATAGATATACCTACACTGAAAGCTCCAAACCAAGATGACAGCTTCTTGAGAATTGAAATCAGAAAAAAGAAACACCAATAGAGACAATGGTTTGAAACCAACCCAAGAACTGTAACGCTCGAATTCACAATAATTTAGAGAGAAGTTAGAGAGAGAATGAAAGCTAAAGAAGTTACCTTTACACAGAAATCAAAGTGATATATCCAAGAACAGAGCTTCGACTTCGAGAACAATCAGAATAGAAGAAACAGAGGGGTCGCCTTCCTGAGAAAGTGATAGAAAATCAGAGAAAATGACGGGGAAAAAAAAAAAGTAATGAAAACTCAATAGGCTTTAAGAGTCCAAAAAGAACTCACAAGATTATATATATATATATATATATATATATATATATAGGTTGGACAACAAGGGAGAGAAAGCGAGAGGAGAGAGAGAGAATGTTGTAGTAGTCAGAAATACTCAAAATCACAAGAAGAGAGAGAGGGGTTAATATATATATACATATGTGTGTGTTTTTATATCATAAGGTGTGTGTTAGGTCCGAAACTGCTGAGATTTTCTCACTTTTATTTTATGCACTCGAAACGGCCTTAAAATAAGCAAGAAAGTGAGAATTTGAAAAGAGTGTTCATTCAACAATGTAAGCAGACGACAGCTCAATTAGAAATGCAAAAAAAGTCAAAAAAGATAAGTACGTAATATATGACACAACACACCTATTATATATATATACACACACGCACAGTCACACACAAACATATGAGGAAGACGGGGGAGATTGTAAATCGGGTTCAGCCTTACGTTACTTTCCCGTCTCTGTCACCCTCCATAATACCCTCACACTTTAATTATATTACAGAATTACCTTTTCTAGATCACTTTTATGTTGGATTTTACTCGTATATGCGAGTAACGCTATTACTACAATCCCTCCGTGACATGATACATCAATTCCCCGTGTTTTAAATTCAAAGATATATTAAATCATTAATTTGACTTGTCATAAATTTTAAAAAATTATCTAAATTCAGGATATCTCTTTTGTAAATTTTCTTTCCTTACTTAAAAATATGAAATAAATATTTCATATCATGAGTCATCTTTTGCTCATCGTCTCACTGTGAGTAAAAAAAATTTATCAAAAAATATCAAACAGTCATCATATTTAGTGTGGATAAATTTCTTATTCACGTGTGAGCAAAATATTACTTACACACTAACGAGAAAGAAATTTATTCACAACAAGTATAATGTGTAAATAAATAACTCTCACAGTGTTAGAGATCATTTATATGTATTTGTGTATGAACAATGCTTGCCTCAAATCACAAATAAGAATGTCCTTCTGATGCTGACATGGACCAATAAAAATATGACTTGTGTTAAATTTTTTTTAAAATAATTAATAAAAATTATTTGGATCTTTTAGATTTATTTATTTTTTCTTATGCGTTTGAGATTTTCTATTACAAACCCTTCATATTGCAATTGGTTATAGAAGAAGCTAAACAATTAGCCCTGGTAAATTAACCACAATTATAAGACTCCAATTATCAATGGAGTTTTAAGGAAATCAATTTGGCTTCAGATTGCAAGTGATAAATCTCAAAATTTCGGATGTCACTAGAGTTATGCCTATTTATTAATAGGTCGGCGTCTTGAGTCATTCTGAAGATGAGGTTGCAACAGAGATGGTAGGCAACGAATGTGGCAGCTTGAATCATTTCTAAAGATTTGATGTAAAAGATTAAGGTTTGGGAATTGAGGAGGTGGTAAGCAGTGGAGGTGGGTTGGGGAAGAGAGGATTAATATTAGGGAATTGGGGAGATGGTGGGCATCAATGGAGATTGAAGGGGAAGAGAGAAGAATCATGAGTCAAAGAGAAGGAGAGTCTACTACCAGGTCTCACACACGTGTGAGAGAAAATACTGTTCCTTTTTTGATGACTCGTGAAAAGATCCGAATGATTCAGGTTTAATAGGCAAGCTTTTTCCTTTGTGTATGTACACATGTATGGGCACATATAGATATGCCTTTCCATATATGCTTACATATTTCAATTATCTAATTTGAAAAGTAACTCATTTTATATAATTCATTTTCAAGTTTTTCAAGTTACTTTCAGTTAAAAATTTGTATCAAATATTCACCAAAAAGAAAAATGGTATAAAATAC